ATTTAGGCCCAAATTCGGTTGCTTCAGTGATGGGTAAGGTCTATAATTACTTTTGTTTTGGCTAGGATGACTAATCAATATTATGAAATGAGTGGAAGACATTGTAGAAATGAATTTGGTGAGAAGCAATTTGTGACAGTGGACTGAATTCTGAGCGAAAATATTGACCTTTTATACTGAAAAGATCGAATCAGTCAAAGATCAGAAATTTTCAGGAAAAATCGAAATTATCTCAGTTTTCCATTTTGCATTAAATATCGATGCATTGTAAAATAGGAAATATTTAATACAGATTATGCAAAAATACTAATACTGTCACAGACAGTTTTTCTATAGAAATTGAGATTAACAGATTATTTCATGTCTCTGGAAGCCTTTCATTGAATTATGTAAATTTGCATTTATGTCAGAAATAGAAGCGTCCAAAAGTGAGCAAGACTATCTATTGTCATTATTTTTCATTCAGGGAAAGTTATAGGATTTGCATCATTTTCTATTAATTGTGCTTTTTGTATTTTAATGTAAAATTGCAATCCTATAAGTCTTTCGGACCGTCAGGACAATGAATCGGTAATTTTTATCCGGAATTGAAAAAGACAGTCAATATTCCGCTTAGAATTCAAATGCAATGCTTTTTCAGAAAATGAAATATAGCAACGTGCGATAAACAGATTCCATCCAACTTTCCAGGAAATCAGGAAAAATCGAAATTAATCTGTTTTCTATTTTACATTGAATAACATGCATTGTGAAACAGAAAATATTTCATACAGATTATGCAGGAAAGTAAATAATACTGTCATAAACAATTTTTCCATAGAAATTTGGATTAACAGATTATTTCGTGTCATTGGAAGCCTTTCATTGAATTACATAAACTTACGTGTTTGTCAGATATAGAAACATCTAAAGGTAAACTGAGCCGTCGACTGTCATTATTTTCCATTGCGGGAAAGTTGTGGAATTTACATCACTTTCTATTATTGACCAATATGATTAATACTTGCGACCCGCATAAATTTTCTTTTAAAAATTTTTTGTAACCGTAAATTTCATAATTTCAGCACGACACAATAATTAATCCTTAAAAACAATTACAATGGTTCTTTTTCCTCTTTCAAAATTGATTCTTGAAGTTGATTTCTAATTACCAAATGTATCTTAATGTATTCATACCTTCACCATCGTTACGTTTATTACTATCGAAGTCAACCTGAAATGAATTAATTTGAAGAATGCGAGAATGGTATGAGATTGTAGCAAGAATTATCTCTAATTAATACGCAAGCATTACTAAAATTAATTAGCTCTCACTAACTAACTGGAGAAAC